GACAGGCTCTAATGTAAAACTGTCAGCAGATGTAGATTTCCTTGGCTTTTGAGGCTAACATTTTGATGCAATGATCAAGGCCTGGCTCTGAGGAGCATCAGAAAAGCTAGTCTGTGCTGGATGTGGTGGCACACACTCGGAATACCAGCACTCTGCAAGGCAAAGCAGAAGGAGTCTAGTATGGGCTGCATGGTGAGATTATGTCCTTAGAAAAAGAATTCACCTGAAGAAAGAAATAAAGAAAGAGATGGACAGACAGAAAGACAGACAGACAGGAAAAGTACAAGTGAAACCCATATTCTGGGATGTGCAGAGTTTAGTTGTTTGACATTAGAAATTGTGCTTTGATTTGCACCCTCTCACATCCACATTCTTCTACACTGATGAATCATTTTTCAGTGACACAAATGGAATTTCTGGGCTCAAGAATATTCACATATTGAGGATCTTTAGTGCATGTTGACAAACGATTCTCAGAAAAATTTGTATTAATTTTTAATCCTAGTTAGTCTATGTCTGGTCCTTAAGCTCTTGTAGCCTCTAGATACTACACTTTAAAGATAAACATAGCTCCCAAAGCCTTCCTGTTTAATCTATGGAGTAATGCCCAGATTGACTTATAACAAAAGATATGCAAATTAACATTATCCTAAAGTTTTACTTTCCCTTCACCCATTGGTTAAACTCCAGGCATTTGATAAAATACTGTTGCAAATATTAGAGGAACAGGCACACTCATATGTGGCGTAAGTTGGTAAAGCCTTCATGGGTTGGAAACAGCTTTCTAATTAAGCTTACTGGTCCCAGCTATTCCACTTTTGGGGTCGATGTAAACTCCTCCTTATTTCGGAATTTATTTTCATTTTCTGCATGAAGCCAGGACGCAGCTTTCCTTTGTCTCCAACGGCAATGAGGTCACTCGAAACTCATTGTTGACTAGGTCATTTATGCCCAGTTGCTGTCATAGAGTATGTGATCTTTACTCTCAAACCTGTGTCTGGACTTCGTATTTTCTGCTTCCAGTTATCTGTCTGTCTAGACCTCCCCAGACCAGATCAGCACACACTAAGAGACGTGCATGAGCTCAGAGCCTTGTGCTTCCACGTACCTCTGTCAAGACTCTGGGCAGGAACTGAACCTCCCTTCTTGCATTCATATCTCTTGTTTTATTGTGTGATCTCTTATGAATGTGTTTGCTTCCCTTCACGGCCATCGTGTCTGAAGGGCACGTCACCAGCACTAATCTGTGAGCCCTTTGAATCTCCCATTTTTCACACTTCTCACTTGTGCCTAACATCGGCAAGAACACATGGTATCAGCAACCAGTGATGAAATGGAAAAGATTCTGTTAAATTCCAGCATGGCTGTTTAATAGTACTTTTGTATTATCTTTGAAAAATTCTGTGTCTACTCTCACCCTTTGACTATTTGCCACCAAAATGAAGATAATAATCCTGATGTCATAAGGATAGCATGGAAATTAAAGTAAAAGATACTCCTAAGCATTCCTGGTATAGATTTGGTATGTAGGGATGCCTTGGCAAAAAGCTTCATTCATTCATTCATTCATTCATTCACTCATTCATTCAAGATTCATTTTAATCAGGTATATATAAAAGCTGTCATTGGCTCATTCTTCCTCCATGAACTTACCATGCAGAATTAGCTTCCTCTATAATGGCTTCCTGAGCTGGAGGCTAAGCATCCCTACTAATGGGTTCCAGTTGCTTACAGCAAGATCGAATCCCAAACTTTCTTAATCGGGAGTTTGGATGATGCTGTGGGGTATACAGTGAGAATAGCCAGACAAAGAACACTGAGCTTAAGAAGTATAGAGCTCTGGTGTGTATATGTATATTCCTCCTTTCTTCCTCTTTCTCTCTCTGTGTGTTTGTATATGTATGTGTGTGTACTTGTGTATATGTGTACATACATGTGTGTGTGTGTGTGTGTGTGCACATGTGTGTATTCTTCTTTGTTTGTTTGCTTTCAGAAATCACCACAGACTGCATATTCTAGAGATTCAGAGAAAAAGAGTTCAGGGCATGGCCAGGTAAGTGGTCCATGTCATCATCTCTCCACATTCCACTCTTTTCTCCTACTTTTCCTCTTCTCTCTCCCACACTTTGTGCTTTCTCTGGAAGATTTAGAGTTGTTATGTCTCTGTGTCAGCTCCCAGAGATTGAAAGATGAGCTGCCAGTCAAATTTCCCTTCTTCTTCCATAAGCATAGTGGACTGACTCCATTAGCATAATAGGGGTAGACGATCTAACAGAGTAGTGGGTGTAAATGTGAAAATGGAGAGCTTGCTAGAGGACAGCCTGCTCCTACATCAGACTTTCTCTACTATTCTGTTCCTGTAGCCTGGGATCACCCATTGATTCTATGTGACTGTGTATCTGCATGTCAATTTTCTCTGTAGATAGTGACTTCTCCAAGGGAAAGCATTGAGTATTTGTTTTCTCCAAGTACCTGGAATATAGTGGACACTCAGCAAATACTTGCTGTATATACGTAAATAATGAATGAATGAATGCCATGTGTATTCTGTTGGCCAATAGTTGGGCTTTCTGCAAAACTATATGTGCATATCACTCAACCCTCCAGGACACAGGAAAGAGTATGCTGCAACCTTACATGTACAGACAGACATGTTCTTGGGTATCAGTGCAGGTGTTACTGGCTTCCATTTCTTCTCTAAAACAGCCACATGAAACATTTCATCCTCACTTCTAGTACCCATGAAGAAGTTGTATGTCTTTGATGGAGAATCCTCACTCCTGTCCCCTACATAAAGAATCTTCCTGTTTATAGTACTTCAAAAAAGGGGCAGGGGGATTTCAGGGGAAGTTCAAAGGGGATTAGAGTAAGCCAAAGGAGATCAAAATATGCTTCTTCAAGCTATGTGACTCTGTGCTACAATGCCACTGCTATTTAAGTCACCTTTAAAGTGAAGCAGAGACCAGTTCTGAAGAATTCAAACACATGGGATGTTAAGAACAGTGCTGAGCGTGCAGCTGACACTGGATAAAATTATCAGTGGTTAAACTATGCCAAGTTGTGTGTTAACAGCTATGCTGGAGTAGATGAAAGGAGAAGAGTAGCAGCTGAGGGCAGTCCCTGGGCTTCACCTTTCCGATTCTGGAAATCCCATTATTTTAGTGATAAGACTTTACTCAGGCGTTGAGGGAGTCAGGTAATTTGATGAACATGATTCTTTTCCAAGTCTGTAATCACAGCACACACAAGTTCTCAACTAGGTGAGTGAGTAAGATTGTTTCACACCTTTATGGTTTTGGCATCTGAACAAGGTTCTGGAACTAGAATGATTTTCAAATCGATCATTCAGTGCACATTGATTGGACACCTACTGTCTGGCAGGGGATACAAAGATGAGTTACATATAAATTCTATCCCCCAAGGCGTTCCCAACTTACTTAAGAAAACAACTCAAGAAAAGTTGAATCTTGACCCAAGAATTGAATAATGGCTCAACAGGTCCAGCTTGGGGGTTGTTCATGATTTTACCTTGTGAGAAGTGATGACAAGAACCCCACTTCAGAGAAAAGAGAAGTCGGGTCTTTGGACTGAGAAGGTGCCACAAAGCTGCTCAGGGTGGAACCTGAACCCGAAGAAGGAGGGGATCCTGGGAGAGGAGTGGGGGAAAAGAATTTGTGTGCTAGAGACCTAGTAGACTGGCCTGGATAGAAAGGTGGATTTACACAGTAGGAGAGAAATGTGGTTCCACAGGCCAAGTCCCAAGGCAAGAACTCTGGAGTGGATTTCTAACCACAAGAAGCTTTTGAGCAGAGAAGCAACACTGGACACATTTCTAGAACCTTTCTGTGGATATGAGATCACACTAAAATGCTAGTTGGCCCTCACTGTAGACTTTTGATCCTCCACTGAAGCCTAAGTCAGGTTTACTCCAGGTTGAGTTCTTCAGAACTTTAGTGGCCGAGAATCTCTGGTAACAACAGGAGATGGCAAACAAAGAACGCAAATAACACGTTTCACATGAAGTTGCTGTCAGATCTGGGGCAGAGGTGAGACTGATCTAGACACCACAGCTCGCTCAGAGAGGGCAGAGCCTTCAATGTGGATACAGGCAGCTGGTGTGAGCCAAAGAATTTGTCTTGAAGGGTATTGACATAATCAGAATAGGCACTGTTTTCCCCACCATTCACCTTCAAAATGGTTGACAGGCATTCAAACATGAAGTTGTTCTTCAAGGCACCCTGAAAAGCTGCCTTTAACCTCTCCAAAGCATTAGGCTGATGTTTGTCCATGAACATCAGTGGGATGGGCAAAGCTGAGCAAAGGCTGGCCATGTAGACTTTGGTTGATAGACTCGTGTCTAGTGAGTCAAATGGCAGAGGGGTGGAGTTATTGAAGGGGTCAGCGGTTAGACAGACATAACTGTTTCAGCCCTGGCTTAGGAAAAAGCTCACTTCAGCCCTTTCGTAGCCCTTGTTGAGACAGGCCTGGGGATTACCCAAAGAGCTGAAGAAGTAAGAAAAGTAGGGGACTGCAGCCCCGTCTGGCAATCCACCTGCACTGGCCAGACAAGATTAACTTTCAACTTCAAGGGAATCGGCAAGAAGAGCAGAAGGAACCCTTAAATTTTTCTTTCACATTCTGGATATTTTTTTTCCCCAGTGAATTGAAAAAAAAAATCTATTCTGCAAAATATGTGGCCCCATAACGAACTCAAACTCAAGGAGAGTTTTTGCCGTTTGATGTATCATCCCCTTTATTTAAAGTGATGAAAGAGAGAAAATGTTTTTCAAAGTGATATCATTCATCTCATGATAATCAATAAAAACTTCATAACCTAATATATTAAAGAAAACATTTAAGTTCAAGCAGAGCAAAAAGGCAAGAGTCTTAGAAATACCACAAGGCTGTGAGGGGAGACAGTGACCTACTCCTTTTGACCCCATTTAGGTAAAGAGTGTTCAGCCACCTTAACTTCCCAGATTCCTTTTCTTCCTTCCAAGGTAGCTGAGTGCTAATGAAGCGCGGGGTCACAGCTTCCTACTTTGGACTGCCACACCCTGTTACCTACCATTGCCCTTCATTGAGGCCAAGTGACTACGCAGCCTTCATCTCCCACGTGTCCAGGGAAGCCAGCCATGCAGCTTTGAGTTCCTGGATCCCAAGCCAGCGGACTAGGGGACCTCAGGCTAAAGCAGGTTCATCATTCCCTTCCATTGTTGTGCAAGGTAAATATTGTTTACTCACGATCTCTCCATTTTGCTCAGCAGAGAGGGGGTGTAAAGAACAAAGCCCCCCTTCCTGTCTTCCACCTGCGCACCCCACTAGTGTGTGGGTTGTTTCTGAGTACTTTTCCATTTCCCACACTTTCTGACCCAGTTCAGCATGCTTTGTTCCACATAAAGTGAGTGCACACGGGCTCGCCTTTCTAAGCAGGCAGTTAAAACATTGAGAGAGAAATCTGGCCTCCCTGATGGCTGAGGGACAGAGCTACCCTGTGTTCTTTTAGGAATAACAAGTCTTCACGGGAGGTGCAGCCTTACCCAGAGGCAGAGGAGCTAGCAGCTTTTGAATTTTGATCCGAGGGGCTTAAGCCTGCCTTCCACTAAGCATCTTGCTTTCTAAGATGTTCAAATGCCTGGCATGTCCCTGCTGCTGTTCGGTGCATACTGGTTAAGCAGTTCTCATTCTCTCTCTCCACCCCTTCATTTCTGTCTTTTTCTCTCCCCTTCTCTCTTTCTCTCTTCTTTCTTCCTTGTCCTTCACACTGTGCTCCCCATTTTCTCTGTCTCTGTCTCTCATCTGTCTCTCTCTTTTACTCTGTCTCTGTCTCTGTCATCTCTCTCTGTCTCTCTGTTACTCTCCCTCACCCCGTAACCCCATCCCCATCCCTGAGCATCACCTAAGCCTCTTCCCAGAAGAGACAAGCCTTCTGGAGGGCCACACATTGAGTCAGTAGATCCCGATGGGAATCAATAGGATGCTTACCAGGCCCAGGATAATAGCCTTGCTTGCCCACTAGAATGCAAATTGCATGAAAGAAGGAATTAGTAACAGTTTTTCCAGAACACGGTTCTCAAGACACAGTGGTAATTGCAAAGTATCTGTTAAATGAATGAATGAATGAATGAATGGTCTCCATACTCTTCTGTTGTTAATCATCATTATGTTCATTGCAAGGAGAAGCCAGATGCACTTTAGAAAGATTCATTAATATCTTCAAAATCTTGCAGTGAAACTGTTGTAAATTCTGAATTCTAATTCAGATCTGTATGACCCCAGGGTCATGGCCACACAGGAGAGAACTCACGAGAACCCCAGAGATGAGATGAGGTTCCATGTTTCTACTATTTTCCGTCTTTCCAACTTCACACGGAAAGCTTTAGAACAAGGGGTTCGTCCATGATCTCCCTCTTTAACTTGCGCCACAGACCAGCCATAAATTTAGCTTTATGATGGAGTCACGGGTGATCTTATAAATAATTGACATATTAACCCATTTGATGTTGAAAATGCCTTAGGAATCAGAGAAAGCATGTTCAAAACAAATGTCATGTTGTCACTTTGATTTGACCCTCTCATCCTTCCCCAGGGGAACTCTGTATATTCCTGGTTTGAAGACAAGACTCCACACTTTGTTTGTTTGTTTGTTTTGAGACAAGGTTTCTCTGTGTAGTTTTGTTGCCTGTCCTAGATCTCGCTCTATAGCCCAGGCTGGCCTCGAACTCACAGAGATTCACCTGCCTCTGTCTCCTGAGTGCTGGGATTAAAGGCATGCACCACTACTGTCCTGCCTCCATAACTTTTTTATAAGTGATAGTTTCATGGAAAATTCTGGAAGTGTTGTAGGAAAGCTGGTCTCTCTTAGACTCTGCCTGCTGCATGGAGCTTCCTGTCTGCTGTGGCCAATAGCCAAAGGAGTTGGAATATTTGGACTCTGTGTTTGTTAGGGTTTATATTACTGTGAAGAGACACTATGATCATGGCAACTCTTACAAAGGAAAGCATTTGATTGGGGCTGGCTCACAGGTTCAGGGGATTAGTCCATTGTTATCATGGTGGGAAGCATGGTGGCATGCAGGCAGACATGGTGCTGGAGAGGTAGCTTAGAGTCCTACGTCTGGCAGTAGGAAGAAAGAGTGAGCCATTGGGCCTGCCTTGAGCTTCTGAAACCTGGAAGCCCACCCCCCAGTGACACACTTCCTCCAACAGGCCACACTGACTCCAACAAGGTCACATGTTCTAATCCTTTTGAATAATGCCATTCCCTATGAGCCTATAGGTGCCATTTTCATTCAAACCACCACAGATTCCTAGGTCATTCCTAGGAGCCTGAGGGCATGATTTCTTTTTCTAGTTCCCTTTCTCGTTCTTCTTTTTCTCCTTGCTCTTCTTCCTTTTTCTTTGCCTTCTCCCTCTCTTTTCTCTTCTTTCTCCTTCCTCCTATTTCTTCCTCTTATTTTTCAAACCAGGGTTTCCTTAAAAGACCTATATTCTGAGCAGCTGGTTGTGGGGCAGTGGAGATGGTTGAGAGTGGGAGACTGTGGGAGAAGACTGCTTTTTTCCTTTTCTAAGCTACAGCCTGTGGTCATTGGCTCTGTGGGAGGATCATGGTGAATCTGCTGGCCTAGAACACAAGGATCTGCATCAGAAGGGGTTGGATTATTCATCACTCTGTTAGGCTGAACATAGCAGAGGTGAGGTCTACTTGCCAAGAGCTTAAAGTAGTGAGGGAGACAGCAGGAGTTGAATCCAGACACCATGGCACAGACATAGTCAAGAGGAATGCAAGGTTCCGTGGGAACACCCAAAATTAGGACACCTAATTGCTCAGTCTTTTAAAGGTCCCTGAATATGTGGGAAAGCACATAATCATGACCTAAAAGGCATTGTGCTCACAGGCAAACGAGGCATCCCCCTTTGACTTATTTCAGGTATTGTCAGGTCATCATTGACTGGATCCTTCTGTCATTCTTGGATCTCAAGGATCATGTTAGGCATTGAGACAGGACAATATGATGCCCAGATTTTGTAGACCATAAAGTGACAGGTGTTTTTAAGGGCCCAGAGAATCAGCAATGCCTGCTTGACCTTGTTAGTAGACCAGCACAAATAACTTCAAACCTTCCAACCATTCATGAATTGGATCCACTGGGGTGGTAATCTCCATTACTTTCAAGAGTTTAGTGTGGATAATGGAGTATGAGTGGATACATGGCAAAGAAATTGGCAAATTCTCAGAAGGCTTTGGAGATAGACAGCAGGAAGGCTGTGGGAGACATTCCAGAATGGACTCATGTCACTGGGAAATCTGGGTCAGAATTTCTTCTCCCCGGTTTCCCAGTTTTGGATGAACCAATAAAATTCTCTGCCAGAAGGTTAGAAGGAAGGAGGAGAATGATGCCAGGGTGTTCATCGTTACCATCTCCTCCTCACGTGGGCCACCCGTTGTAACAGCTAAGTCTAACAAGCCCCTTTTATGGGGCAGCCTTTTTTTTTTTTAACAATGGCAGCTGCTGCTCTCTCTGAGTTTTGAAGCCTGTTTTCTCGTTCAATCTTTTAGTTCTAAGAGCAGATTCTGTCTGCTGCACTAACTCAGTCTTATTTATCATCCTTGATGGTTTCCTTTAACCTTGTTCATATTTGGAAAGAGTGTCTTCGTCAAACTCGTTTCTATATAACCGGATGGAGCGTGCCACCTGGGACCTGACCAGACTGTTCCCGATACACACCTCTCCCCATCATGCTGCTGAATGGGTCTATAAGGTCATATAGATTTGTGCAGAACGGATGCCTCAGCATCACTGTGCCTTATTTCTCCCATATGAAAACCCTGTGACAGAAGCAGAAGGGCCAGCAGCTGGTCACCTTCCCACAGCTAGTTAGCTCAGGGTGGCATCTTTGGTCTTACTAATGTCAGACCCTAATAAAGGAAGGGGTGGCTCTCCTCAGTCTTGGGGTTCTCTCTGAGGTGGACGCTTGCTTCCCACAGACCCCAGAGCTTTCATTCCACCTGTTACCAACCCTCCTCATTATGCTTCAGAATAGCGATCTACCCAGGCAGTAACAGCCTTCGCTCCCCGCTAATGAAGCATGTTCTACAGGGATCTGGGGGTTCCGTTTCGATTTTTCAGGATCTACAAATAAATAACACAGCACAGCACATTGTTTGCTAGAAATTACCAGGAGCCCGGCTCTTCTACGCTCATTCTGCCATACAGAAAGGGGCTGCAGCAGCAATCAATGGGTTTTCCATGGTCCCTGACCATCTACTACCTCTTACTTTACTGGTTTGATTTTGCTTATACAGTCCCAGCTGTGATTATCAATATGTGCATTGAAGCTACTCCTGGCGCTGGCTGTAGCAACAATAATAAGATTGGGGTGGGGGGCGTAGAGAGGGTAATCTGCCTGCCTCCAGCAAGGCTATGATCACTGGGTTAAAGGGGATAGATGAGAGGGCTGAAAGGGAGAAAGGGAGGGAGGAGAGAGAGAGAGAGAGAGAGAGAGAGAGAGAGAGAGAGAGAGAGAGAGAGAGAGAGAGCACTTCAGGAGTAGGGGCTGGAGAAGAGAAAACAAAAGCAACCAGGCCAGCTAGGGAGCAGGTCGGGCTGCCATACTCATCTCACTGTGCCAGTACACTTAGCACATCTCTCTGTGAAGTCAGACTCTCATTCACAGATTGAACACATCATCCCAGCTGTTCCCTGTCACCCCTTAAATCCTTTCAATTCAGCCAGATAAAACCAGCTAGTTGCAGGATAAATTAACATGTTCAGGCAATTATAGAGGCTTTTATGATAATTCAAGTACAAGAGGCTTAAACACTGGATCTGGAGGAAAGAGAATGAACTTCAGGATCCCTGACATCTTTTTTTTTTTTTTTTCTTGCCTTAAAGTAAAAAAGGACGTATTTTCCAAGTGAAGTTGGGATAAGGGTAGACATTATCTCACCAACTCATTTTTAGTTCCTAAATTGTTCTGAAATGTCATTTCAAATCTATGAAACACATTTCTTTACACATTTAAATTGTGTAATCCTCTTGTATATCCCTCTTCTAATGCCTCAGAGCATCTATATCTTAACTATATACACTGTTGGCCACTATATTGTCTTTGGACTTAAAAGGCCATCAAGGGTATGGGAGGGACATGTTCATAAACAGTCCCAGGAGAACTAATGACTCTGAATCATATGAGGTGAAGGAAGCATGCAGAATTCCATGCG